TGTCAAATGTCAAAGCACGTACTTACGTACGTACAGTACGTACTAATTCTCATAATTGATAATTGAATAAATTGATATTTCTTGGGACCCTCTAAACTGAATGGGTACGATGGTTTACTATTATTATCTGGTTTTCCATCTTTTACTAATGGTGCCGGTGGATGTGGTATATCCAATGAAAATTTTTTTATGAGCAAGTCAACAACGCTACCTTCCTCAATCAATTTAGAATTCGTTGACTTGCCATACAAGTGAATACTCCATGACTCTTTCTCAATTTTTTGCAACTCTCGACTCGCAGTTGGATCAGATTTTAGTAAGTCAACGATTTGAATATAATCGCGAGGATAAAGAATTTGATTAGGAAGTATTTTAAGTCCATTTTCTTCTAGCAGTTTTCGATATTTTTTCACATATTTTGTGATCCCACGAGGACCTAAGCAATTGAAACATGAAGTTGGAAAAGTTTCTGAAAGTGTATTTTCAATAAATTCTCTGAACATTGCCCATCCTTTGCGAAAACGCATAACACCATTCGGCAGATATGTGCCATTTGTGTCCAATGTCCATTCGAGATCTGCAGATACACTGGAGAAGTCTGAACCAATAAATTCCATATTATTATCTGGTGGAACACGAATCCAAAGAGCGTCCATATCCATATACATTCCACCATATTTATATAAGAGTACACTCCTCATATAATCAGCGAGATAATAAGGGAAATATTGTGCCTCTTCCCATTTTTTCCAATCTAAAATCCAGTTTTTGGAGTTTACACCAAGGAACCATTGTCTTTTTAGTATTAATTCTTGACCGAAGTTAATTACATGAATTTGATAACCTTGTTTTTTATATTCATCAAAAAATTGGTTTGGAAGTGTGTTTGTTACAACAAAAATAATTGCCTTTGGATTGTGGACCCAAACAAGTTCAATTGTTTTGTAATGCCGTTCTTGAAAAGTTGATTGATCCGTTGTCCAGATCATCCAATGTAGCAAATGCCATTGATCTGTCTGCGAATAAACCGATGAGTGTTGAGAAAGAATACCGGGTATTATCCACTCATCCTCATTACTTCCCATTATTGCATTTACTGGCTCATCAAATACTAATGAAGAATCATTTTGATTTATTATTAAAAAATTTGCTTGGTTAAGCAATGTGATACCTTTTACATAGTCACAATCAAAATTCCAATCTTTCCAATGGTTATCTCTTCCGGCGCACGGATAACACAAAGCACAAAAACGTTGCCTAAATCCTTCACATAATCGCCTATTATTGATGACATTTTCGTACATATCAATCATACTTAGATCAGGGTCATAACTATCACTAAAATGTTTTGCAATCATATCATCTTCACACACATCTGCTTGTTGAATGCGTTTATCATGAATCGGTTTAATATTATAAGGAAAGAGCCATATGCCCAAATTTTGATCTTCATTTTTAGTGAAAATGCGTGGTGAATCTGTAACAATTAGTGAAATAATATCTCGAGATAAAATATAGAGCGCACCGGCTGTGAAAGGTGGAAACATAGGCAATGGGTACTCAAATTCAGAATTTTTATTTGCAGTGTTTTGAATTGGAGGAATATTCCTACAAGATACAATTTTTAATTAGTTTATAAAAAAAAAAAAAAAGTGAAACATCTAAGAGACGACCTTTACCAATATCCTAGCCCTTTCCAATAATACCTTTCACCGGGACCCAATTCACCCAATTCTCGTATGACAGTATCCATACGTACAAATATATCATCATCTGTTTTGATCAGGTAATCAAAATCGAGTTTATTCGCCCATTCGAAACTCTTATAAACTTTGTGACTAAGGTCGTTATAAAGATCTGATGATGGCACAATGACAATATCACCACATTTTTCCGATTCAGCTAAAATTTTGCTTCCCATAATTTGCTGTGCTTTTGCTGAAGGTTGGGTTCCGATAATGAAACGGTAGGCAATAGAAACTTTATTAAAGTTCTGAGGGATCAATTTTATTGAAGTATCACGAAATTGTTGACGTTTTAAATAACTACTCTCGGTCCAGGATGACAATACTATCATTATTACTTTAATTTCAGCATCAACATTAATTTCACTAAGTGATAAGTTAGTGTTTAATTTGTAATTGGCAGGACTCATATTGGATCTATGTCGGAACTTGAACTTTGATTGTTGATCGAGAAGGCACATCATAGTAATAAATGAGGCAATCGCTAAAGGGAGTATAATACATCGCAAAATATCTCTCAATGTCATTTTTGATGCTTCAGGGTCACCAGGCTTAAAGTGCTTTGTAGTTGAAGTAAATAGCCATTGGATAACATTACAAATAGCCAAAACAATGCTACATATCACCCAAGTCCAAACTGGTTCATCATGCCCGTAATGTGAAATTACAAAAGCTGTGACAACCCAATTAATTGCTTGTAAAGAAATGAGGCGGATTATTGCGCTGGTGACTTCGTAATAAAAGAGCCATCGGCGCATAAGTCCATCTGCAAGCCAATAACTCCAAAGACCGGCCAAAAGGCACTAAAAATGAGCAACCGAAAAGTGAGTTGACCGATTTTTCCACACGGTATATAAGAATTTAATATAGATCGAACTGATTTTCAAATCCTGAAACTTTATTTAAGTACAAAGATTCAAATTATTAATAGCAATAAAAGATAAATACCATAAAATATTAATTAGTAACATTTCATGCACCATGATACGCACATTAAACAATCTAATCATCGTTGTAGTTGTTTATAAACACACTACATAATCTTTTCTCTCAGGTTGATCAAAGATCAGTTATCTATAAATTTGTAGAAATAGCAAATACTTACCCACATAGCGCCAAGCCAATAGTCCAGTTCGGTACTCAGCTCCAATGCGTTGCCTGCCTTACGTGAAGGGACTTGGCTGGCAGCATATATAAAGGAAATAAAACTATAACTGGCTGGAACTAAACTAAGGCCTCGAAGCAAGAAGAGAATACTGTGAAGTCTACGGGGCACACCAATTATTGAACGATTCAGGCCAATCCCTAAAGCACTTCTAACAGTTGGGAGGTGTGACTACTTTGGCCAAAAATATTTGAAATTGGTGAGAATTTCTAATAATAATGCAATTTCAATTATAAAAATGCATGAATTTGTCGTTACCATATTATAAAGTTTCGCCAGCTCGAATGAGCGTAGCAGGGTCCAATTTGATGATTAAAAATGCTTCCGTTGACTGATAGACAACAGGTTAGAATGTGAAATTGTCTAGATAAGAGCTTTTATTTGGTTTTTTTTTTTTTTTTTTCGAAGAAAGAAATTTTGATTTATACCATATTAGACAAGGCATGTAGTAGATCACAATAATTCAGAATATTGTCACGGGATAAATTTGGATATCGAAAAGATTCGGAATATATATTTTATGTAACTTTATTCAATTATCAATTTATTCAATTATCAATTATGAGAATTAGTACGTACTGTACGTACGTAAGTACGTGCTTTGACATTTGACA